CTTGTGTTGCAATTAAATATATCATTTTATCACAACACAAACACCAAAACAATTTTTTTTTTTTTTTTTTAAGTCGATTATTTACAGTTTTGCATACCTTCATTTTTTTACCTTTTCGCAAAAAGGCGCAATTACAAATTTGCTAATATTTGTTATTTATTAACTCAATACAGTTTTATCTTTTAGATTTAGTCAAAAAATATTTTTTTTTGTGCACGGATACTGATTTTGGTGTGTTTTAACAATTGAATTGTGTATTTTTATCGGTTTAATATTAATTTGAGAAACATTTGCGCAATTATCGCAGGGCCTACAAATTTAGTATCACCATCTTTTTATTCTACCGGGCCTGCGCTTTCAGAAAATATATGGTTTGGGGGGTCTTTTACAAACGCTAGCAACGCAGCAGTTGAAAATCAAATCAATAGGAAAAAATTGCAGAAAATTCAAAAATGGCTTGGCCAGCTGATTTGAAAAATGTTCCGGAAGGCTTGGCAGCGAAAGGGTTAAACAGCCCCGATGCTGGCGACGTACACTGTACGTCGTCAGTCACGAAGGGGTTAAAATGTGTTTCCAAGACGAGAGTTCGATTTATGGAGACAAAAGAGGTTTTATTTTACAACCTGAATGGGCAAAGTGACAGATCTTCCTGCAACTCTGTCCCAAAATTCAAGAGAATAAAACATGGACCTGCCAGGAAGAAACTAAATACATACCTCTCATGGTGCCCAAAGCAGCTTGGAGAAGGGAGTGAGGAGGGAAGAAGGAGGAGTGTAGACATACACAGCTCACTAGCACACACAAAGGTGTCTCCATAGGACCCTACAAGGGAAAAGGTGCCACCCTTAAATAGGATATCAGGGCCAGTGCTCAGGGAAACAGATAATTTTGCAGAAAACTAAAACTTTTCAACATCAAGGAGCAGCATCCGTTGTAAGAGATTTCATCAGCACTTGAAATAGCTTAAAAACATTTTGACTTTAAAGAAGAACTCCAGCAAGCTAAAAAATTAACCCTTGCGGTGTGGCTACCGCTGCACTCCAATGGTTAACTGCTCATTTTGGCCTAGGGGTTAAAATAAAGAAGATACACTCGTCTGATCCTTGGTTCTGCATGGCTGCTGGACAGGTCACCGCAGCCTCTTATCTCTAGGCTCTGGTGGCCTAAGGAGCAGCTGCATTAGATGTGAGGACTCCCAGCGACATTCCATCGCCATAGCGGAGGGTGAGTGAGGTAAGCAGTCACAGCCACAGGATTGAGGATCAGGTGAGTGTATCTTACCATCTCTGATAGGCTGAAGGGAGCGATGTCACAGCCAGGCCAGATTGTAGGATTGGGTGAGTATAACTTCATTTTTGCCCCTAGAGCAAAACAAGCACTTAACCCTTGCAGTGAGGGGGTAGTTCCACTGCAAGGGTTAATTCTTGTATTGCCTGGAGTTCCCCAATGAATGGGCTGGCAATGCACCTCAATGGCCCAGAAAATGGAGCTGCCCCATTTTTGGCGGGGCACCTGCATTGGTAAAGTGGGTTGAGGTACCATTTAGAATGAATTGCACCACACGAGGGATGTGCGGTCAGGAGAGGCAGAGCCTCACCTAGTATTATAGAGGAAAAAGCTGTCAGCTTCAAGTCTGAAGCTGACAGCTTTTTCTCCATTCAGATCGACTTCTATCAGGTTACAGAGCAGGGAAAGCCTCCCCACTGTGTAACCTGTCATGGATGGAGCGCTGCCTGTTAATTACGGGTGGCGCTGTATCCGGCTTTTGACAGCTAAGTTAGGTTACACAGCAGCGGGCTTCCCCACTGCTTGTGTAACCTAACATAGTGAGGCAAGAGCTGCAAACAGCCTCTACTCTGTGTTAGAGGCGTGAGCTCTGTGGATGGCTTGGACCAATGGCAAAACCCCATTGGTCCAAGCTGTCCAATCAACAAAAAAAAAACAAAAAAACACTGAGGCCATCGATCTGGATGCCTCAGCAGTGACTCACCAGTGATGAGCAAGTGAGGGAGGGTCCTCCCTGTCTCCTCCCCACACAGCTTGGTTACCGAGATGGGGGCGGGGCTTCGGCTGGATGCGAACGGAGCTTTGTCGGGATGGGGGGGCGCAGCTTCGGTGGGACGGGGGCCAAGCTTCGGCGTGCTGGCGATTACTGCACGTTACCTGCAAGGGTGCGCTATGGTGCCATTCATTCTAAATGGATACATTCAATACAATAAAGTGAACACGGCCTTAGCATTTTTCTTTGTAGGTTACATCAAATAAGCACAATAACTGTCAGGCACCTTCCAGCCGCTGCAGCCTTAGACTGCGCCGAAAACGTGTCTTCACAATAAGACATTGATCGGTGGTAGGCTCTAAGGCGCTAATCATTTAATTGACTTAACTCCGACTCAATTTGCTGGCCACTGAGTTTGTTCATTTTTTATTTTACTATGTTTCAAATTAGATTTGGAATAAATACTGCATTCACTTTTTTCGCTCAGTGAGACAGTGAAGGGACCATTTACGTAAATCACTGTTGACAGGCGGGATAAATGGCCATCATGCTAATAAGTCTTATTAGGAGAATGAATGAAATACCCGTGTGGTTGATATCATAGCTCTCATCTGCTTTATTTGATGTGAAATGGAGAGGGGAAGATTAGAGGCGCAGACAAAAGACTTCTTGCTGCCCTTCACGGTGAATTTAGTTTAAATTAAGTAGTGGCAGGATTTAATAGATGGACTGTTTTGATCGCCGGGTAGGATGGTGACATTAACCGAATGTCAGCGAGATTGGTTCCTAAGAGGGATTGGGGCTACGGTGATGTTAACTTAATGGTACACTCCAGTCAAAACTGGAATTGACAGAGGTGCATCCAGGGAACACATCCAACCTGCTGAGTAGTTGCATTTTTTATCCAAAAATTGCTGTGGTGTACCAGTTCTCCCTTTTGTCTGTAATCTGGGAATCCCGGAGCACATCTGCTTGAGTTGCTGGAACACACTTCTTCAGAGGCGTATCTACAGAAAATAGAGCCTATGGTGAGCACTGAAATTGTGCCCCTTTCCAAAAATCTGAAACCCATGTTTACCATAATATTAAAGGAGAACTATGAGATGAGTGATTTCCACTCACCTCATAGTTCTAGCCGACCTGTGACAATGAGACTGTCACAGGTCGGCTCAGTAGATCGGGAGGTGAGCGAACACATACCGGGTTCGCTCGCCTCTCGATCCTGTCACGGCTCTCTGCCGTGACAGGGGGAGGGGCTGGATTCCCCTCTCCCCGC